TGTTAGGAATACCTTCCCGATACCGACTAGCTTCACTAATGTAAGCCACTTCGGAAGGGTTCAGCTTCCTAGAGCAAGGGAACAATGTATAACCAGAGCTTATTAAGGAAGGAATATAATAAGATAGTTATGTTTGTGACTTAGAACGGTATGAGCTTCAGAAGTATGAGAAGGTATTCAAACTAACTACTAGCTATGCTAGACAGTTGAATTACAGTGAGCGTAGACTTGAGCGTAGCTCCCCTTATATAGACCTATGTTCTGTTCCCCATGACCAAGTCTCAATCGCTCCCGATGAGACTCATGCATACAGTCTCATCCGCCAAGGCTGAGACTGGTGCAGAAAGTCTCACATGCCAAGACTGAGACTGCCACTTGGCATTGCTTGGCAATGACCCATGTTACTCTGGCCGTACTGACAAGTACACCATAACATTATTCCCCTCCTTAGTAAGCTTATCCCAAGCGTTAATTCTTTTAAGTGTCGTTTCACCCGCTCTTCAAATCCAAAGATGTCTCGTTCCATTCTTTCTTCAAAAGATTTCGGCGGGGTCTCACAAGTAACATACTTCCGCCATAAAGCGAAGCAAGCACACAGTGAGATCGAGCTTTACGGAGATATAGCGATCGTAGCGTGTCAAAATTGTTTTGAACACGGTATCCGTTGTATCTTCATGTCTGGAACAAAATCGGTGAAATGCGCTTCCTGCGCCTCAAAAGGAATTCCTTGCGTCAACTCGTCCTGGGCCTCTCTGGACAAAACCGGAGAAGAGGCAAAGTCGCAAATAGATACCGACTTGCTGGAGTTAGAAAAGATTACCACGCGTCTAAGGAAAAATCGGAAGATCCTAAAGTTGGCTGAAGAACGTGCGAAAGCGAAGGCGGTATGTCTTCTGGATAAGTTGGAAGAGGAAGAAGAGATGCAATGTGTAAAAGACGGTGGTCTTTCCAATACTAAACTGGAGGAGTTATTAAGGAATCTGGTCGCTCAGAACAACATTCTTTCAAATGATCCCCCCATCTGGAGTACCTGGGATCCCGAATCTTTTAACCGCAGCTTGAAGCGACGAAGGCTAGACAACCCGTCTCCTGGGAATCCTAGTTCAGATTCGACTTCCATCCCGGTGGTGGAACGTGGTCCGGATGTTCCTTATAAAAACACCATAGTTCAAGCGGACAGTTCAGGTTCTTATAAGGTTCCCAAGTATTTTCTTCTGAAGGGTAACCTTTCCACTTAATAAGGTAGAAGTGCTGACGTCCTCGGGTTCTGTGATCTAGGATTTTCTCTACTTCATACTCTAGATCAGTCGGGTCCTCAAGGTTGGTTTCTTTGTCGAGTGGGGCCTCCGGATCCGCTTTTTCCAATAGTGAAATGTGGAATATAGGATGTATCTTCATGTTTTTCGGTAGTTGCAGCTCATAATTTACCGGTCCTATGATCCTCTTGATTTTGAATGGTCTGATTTTTAGAAAGTCAAGTTTATCACTTTGGCGTTTGGTACGAATATTTCGTCGCCAAAGATAAACTTTATCCCCCTCCTTAAGGTCTGGTCCCTCAGACCTTTTTTGATTTGCTTGAGAGATCATTCTTTAGTTCAGGAACATAATATCAGATCGTAGTTGAGTATGAAGCGATTGCAGGTCTTTTGCAAACAGCGTTGCTTCCGTAGGCAGGTATACCGACGTGTCAACCATTAATCTTGGTTCCTTTCCAAAGTTCGCGTAATACGGTGACATCCCTATGGTACTCTGCTTGGTTGCGTTGTATGCTAGCGCTGCCTATGGTAAAAGCTGTACCCAATTATTTTGTTCGTCGTTGACATATATTCTCAAATATTGCTCCAGTATTTGGTTTACTCGTTCCGTTTGGCCGTCACTCTGTGGATGATATGCTGTTGACATTCCCTGTGCTATTTGTAATACTTAGCATAATTCTTTCCAGAAATAAGATGTAAATATCTTGTCTCGATCAGAGATAATCTTTTCAGGTATGCCAAACTTCCCTACTTCTTTCAGGAAGACTTTCGCCAAATAAGAGGCTGTAAATTGTTGAGGGATCAGGACAAATATCGCATATTTTGTCAGGCGGTCGACGGCAACCATAATATTTTCGTGTTCCATATTATTCTCGTCCTTAGAAGGTGGTAAAGGTCCAATGAAGTCTATTGATACTTCTTGCCAAGACTTTTCTGGTGCTCGGTTTGGCTGAAGTAGTCCATAAGGTCTATGTCGTTCATACTTGGCTTTCTTGCACAAATGGCAACCCCTAACCCAAGTAAAAACTTTTTGTCGCATCCTGGGAAAGTAGTAGTTTCGTCGTAATCTTTCCAAGACTTCTTCTGCTTTGGCATGACCTTGCAAAGGTGGCTCGTGATACTTAAGTGTCCATTCCTTCTCGAGGTTCGGAGGTAGTATGATTTTCCCTTCATGCATATAGACCTGTAGCTTATCATCGTAATCCATATATTGTTTGATGAAATCCCTTTTCGATTGTTCAGTTCGAATCCTCTGAATCTCAGGTATGTTGATTTTGATCAAAGATGCCACTTGATGTATCATAGAGTCTCCTTCTTGCCGCAAGAGAGCATGTTTAACTTCCATTCCTTTGTCATAGTCGGTTCTTCTGCTTAATGCATTTGCGTTGGCATTAAGTTTTCCACTCCGATGTTTGATCTCAAAGTTGAATGACGATAATTTGTATGACCATCTTAACTGTCGTCCATTCAGCACTTTGGTAGTGGTGAAGTTCCGGAGATTCTGGTGGTCTGACAAGACTAAGAATGTATCCTTGGTGCCTTCTAAGTAGTATCGCCAATGTTTGAGTGCGTCAACAATCACTAGCAACTCCTGATCCGACGTGGAGTATCTGGTCTCCGCATCAGTAAACTTTCTAGAGTGATAGGCTACTGGCCGCCATAGCCCATCTTCGCCCTGTTGACTTAGGACTGCTCCAAGGGCATATTTGGAAGCATCTGTTTCAATTCTTATCAGCTTCTTCTCGTCGAACAATTGTAGTACCGGCGTAGTCGTGACCAATTTCTTAAGCTCGTTAAAGGCCTTTTGAGCGTCTTCGGTCCACTGAAACTCCTGGGAAGTGACGCCAGCGTTTTCCCGTTTCTTAGTGAGTTTAGTAAGTGGTACTGCAATCCTTGAATATCTAGGGATGAACTGTCGATAATAGTTCGTAAATCCTAAAAATGCTTAAACTTGCTTAACTGTTCATGGTTCAGGCCATTCCTTAACCCTCTCGACCTTTTCCGGATTTACTTCCAGTCCCTTTTCTGATATAATCAGTCCAATAAACTCGATCCTTTGTTTATGGAACTCGTATTTGGATGGTTTAAGCCGTAAATTATGTTTCTTTAGCGCTTTCAAGACCTTTCGGACATGTTCGACGTGTTCTTCAAGCGTCCAGGAGTATACTAATATGTCGTCCATATAGACCTCAACATACCTGTCCAAGTGTTCCCGCAACACATGGTTCATGTATGCTTGCATGGTAGCTGGGGCATTCGTGAGTCCAAATGGCATCACCCTGTACTGATAGTGCCCTCGATGAGTGCCAAACGCTATCTTGTACTCATCGCCCTGCTTAATCCGAATTCGATGGAATGCTTCCGGTATATCAAACTTTGTGAACCATCGAGCTCCCTGAAGTCGGTCTCGTAACTCCTGGATTAACGGCAGCGTCATGCCATTCTTCACCATGATACTGTTCAGGTGTCTGTAATCCACATAAAGTCGTAGTCCGCCGTCGGGTTTAGGTATATAAAATACCGGATATCTCACGGGAGACTTAGACTCTTCAATAAACCCCCGTTTTAGGTTTTCGTCCAAGTACTTATCTAGTGCCTCTCTTTAGTCTGCCCTGAGTAGGTAGATACCAAACCTCTTTAGTTAGGATCCCTCTTTTAGCACTATTTCGTGATCGAACGGCTGGTGCGGTGGCAAGGCTTCTTCTGGAGCCTCCCTTTCGAAAAGTTCTGCAAATTCCTTATACTCCGGAGGAATTTGGAACGCTGTCTTCTGCTCCCCCTGGAGTTGATAAACAGCTACCGCCTCTATGTCTTGTGTACTCTGCCGCATGAGCTTTTTCATCTGCCCCCCAGTGCGCTTCCTGGTCCGGGCAGGATATCGATCCTTAACTAGAGACACAGTTAAGGTTGACCAGTCGATGTGCGGTCTTTTATCCTGGAGCCATGACAATCCGAGGATAATATCCGAATCCCCGATGTTAGTAACGTCAAACGTCCTCCTAACCTTTTTGCCTAAGGTTGTCATGTCGACGGTTGTCTCGTATTCAACCATGCCTTGGTCTGAAGCGATTGGAGTTCCGTCAGCAGTGATAAGTGGATATGGGTCCCTTTTCTTGTATAAAGGTAGTCCCCATTCCCTAGCATACCGACTGCTCAAGAAATCTGCCGTAGCTCCTGAGTCAATCATGGCCATGGTAGAGTTGCCTGCGATCTCAACTTCTACCATCAGCTTGCTCTCCCCTAACTTACTGAGGCTTCGAGGTTCCTTCCAAGAGTCAACTATTACGCCCCCTAATAGTCGACCTCCTCGTTTCCCGAGAAGTAAGGGCGCTCGCTCCCACCGTCATCAAGCGTCTCTTCGCCTGACTCCCATTCCCCGGAACTTTCATCCGGGTTGGACATTACTTTTGTTATTTGCAGGTTTAGTCGATATGACTTCTGTGGATCTTCAGAGTCTGGATCTGCGTTCATCTGAAATCTAATTCGATATGGGTCCTTAGGCAAAACCCATGTAATAGCCCTTCTTGTTGAATCATCGGTCATGTAGATGAGTTTCATGATGCATTTGTAGACATTTTCCATCATCTTATTCTCTTCAGGGTCAAGATTTCCAATCGTACTTTGGATTCCCCGCGGTGATGGTCCAGCATCAATTGATGGGTGATTTTCATCGATAATTCCCCATTACATCACTGGTACACGGTGTCTTGGACACTGACAACCCCAAGCTGTGCAGAGATTGACTGGAAGATGCTCATAGTGTACATGGCGATCATTACCCTTAATACCTTCAATCTGGAGTATTCGCCGTACTTGCGTAAAGGAAATCTTAGGTGGTCCATAAGGATATTCCCATGATGGTTCTCCTAGATCCTTATTTTCACTATGCTCCCAAAATCCGCAATTCTGGACCTTGCAGTGGCTAATTGGTAGTGCCCAATGGAATTTATGAGCCATATTCGCCTGGACCTCTGGATGCCGTTCCAAGATTCCTTGGATCACAGTCTCGTCCCGCGGTCCTGTATTTTGATTTGGTCCCCATCGGTAAGCATCATGAGAGTTTCTCCTAAGCATCGCGATCTTTCGTGTCTGCACACCAGTTCCTAGAGTCTTGATGGACTGTTTCTTGGGCTTTGGACAGCTTCGAGCAAAATGTCCTGGTTGGCCACACTTGAAACAATTTCCCATGTTTTTCTTGAAATTCTTGGGCTTTTTCAGGGCTTGTTCGCCTTTCTGGAGTTTATCTATCTCTATAGGCTGTGGTCTATAGTAATCAGTAGAGCGTCGTAGTCTCCCGTGATTAGGTTGGTGTCTGGGCGTCTTTCCCTGTTTATCGAGCTTGTTTTCAAATAGGATGGAATCGACCCTAATCGCTGATTCGATAAGTTCGGTAAGGGTAGATATTTCTTTTTCCTTAAGCCGTAATTAAGCTTTAACTTCTGGCTTAAGTCCTGCGAAAAACTTGGTACGAAGTGCATCGTCGTTCTATTTCAGAATCGCCGCCCATTTCTCAAATTCGACCGCATAGGAACTTATATCTGACTTCTGTCGTAGTTCCAATAATTTCTTCTCGGCCAGATAGGCCTTGTCAACTCGCTGGAAGTACTGATCCATTTCTCCCATGAATACTGAGTAACTCTGGAAGATCCTTTTGACATCATGCGGAACATCTCCTTTCTTCAAGATATATTGATCAACCCGTCTCTGGATCCAAGTGTATGCACTTCCCCTTAAATAGGAAACGGCATACATGACTTTCTTTTCCTCAGAGTCGAGTTTATCCTGGTTCCAATAAATGTAAACCCCAAGCTGGGACCTAAAAGCTTCATATTTGGATCACTCCCCCTTAAAGGGTTCAGGTGGATTGACTTTTGGTTGCGCCATATCGCCGTCAAAGAGATTCTCGCTTCTGGAATCAGAATTCGAGTCGGATGAATCAGAGTCGTCTATCAGTTGAGCGTCCGGTAAGACTTCCGGATCCCTTGGTGGTGGCGGAGGTGGTGGAGGTACCGCTGTTCTGTATGTCGATGGCCCAGCAGCGCCGATAGTCGAAGTAACCTCAACCTTCTTCTTTGGTGGACCAGACTGTTGTTGACTCCCGCTACTTCTCTTAGAGACAGTAGATATAAGATATTGTTCCTTGCCCTATTCAATAATGTGGTAATTCAACTTTTGTTAGGAATACCTTCCCGATACCGACTAGCTTCACTAATGTAAGCCACTTCGGAAGGGTTTAGCTTCCTAGAGCAAAGAAACAATGTATAACTAGAGCTTATTAAGGAAGGAATATAATAAGATAGTTATGTTTGTGACTTAGAACGGTATGAGCTTCAGAAGTATGAGAAGGTATTCAAACTAACTACTAGCTATGCTAGACAGTTGAATTACAGTGAGCGTAGACTTGAGCGTAGCTCCCCTTATATAGACCTATATTCTGTTCCCCATGACCAAGTCTCAATCGCTCCCGATGAGACTCATGCATACAGTCTCATCCGCCAAGGCTGAGACTGGTGCAGAAAGTCTCACATGCCAAGACTGAGACTGCCACTTGGCATTGCTTGGCAATGACCCATGTTACTCTGGCCGTACTGACAAGTACGCCGTAACAATTTCTTATCTATAAGGGCCTTTTTAATATTAGTTAATAAGACTATGAAAATTTTAATATTACACCTTCTTATAAATTAGGTAAAGGGGACCACTCTAATCGCGTAGATGTCCATTATAGTATCAGGGGGTAGATTCCCTTCCAAGTCTGGATTGTCTATAGGGAAGGGCTCATCTAGGGGGTCAGGAGCTTAGGCCATAAGCCATATTATCTATAGTTTATACTGCTAATTATACCATTATAGTAGTATATTAGGGCGGTTCAGCAAAGCCTTCGCTGGGGCCTTTTCAGGGATAGTTAAGGGGCTATCAGGTTCAGGTGATTCTGGTTATTATTTGACCACGAAGTAGTTGTGGCTGTTAGGAATACTTTCCCGATACCGACTAGCTTCACTAATGTAAGCCACTTCGGAAGGGTTCAGCTTCCTAGAGCAAGGGAACAATGTATAACCAGAGCTTATTAAGGAAGGAATATAATAAGATAGTTATGTTTATGGCTTAGAATAGTATGAGCTTCAGGAGTATGAGAATGTATTCAAACTAACTACTAGCTATGCTAGACAGTTGAATTACAGTGAG